CAAGTCTATCAGGCATGACCCCAGTTTTGATGGCACTGAAAATCATGTAACCATAGTACTGGTCAGTTCTCAGGTCGTCAATGACAGTATGTGCAAGCTCAACGAGTGGAGGGCCAACTGTGATTTTTTCAAAGCTCGGATTTATTTCTAACTCAATGGCAGAGTCCAGCATCTTGCCAAGAGGACCAGACCATCTGTTGTTTGAAAGAGTCTTGCCATCCAGCTCCTGGATCAGATATCTGAGTGGCAACTCGTTGGTGTGGAGGTCACAAACAATCCAGACCAGCTTCCTCCCAATCTTCCGCTCTATCCACTGTATGACCCCCCCTTGCCACCCTGTGTTCGTGTTGGTGCTGTCCCCTCCAATGGCCTGCAGGGTCTGGTCTACGTTCCTCTCTCTGAGCCAGTTCACAATGTTATCTGCCACTATCTCAGCTGGTTTCCTGATGTCATCTTTCTCTGGAGTGAAATGCCACAAATACTTCCCTCCTGGTTCACTGCAGCAGGAGTAGTGTTCCTCCTTCACCATGGCAGGGAACAACTTGTCAGAATCTCCAACTTTCATGAACACTTTAGTGTCATCCCTTCTCCCATCAAAGAACAAACAATTGATTCCATTTTCTCTTATCCCCTTATCAAACTCCTCTTCTAGGTTACTGACAAGTTTCTCCTGAGCTCTCCTTACTTTGTTATGATCTATCACCAGGTGAACATCATCAGGTGTTATCAAACCACCGTCAATCCAGGCAGCTGTTGCTATCTCTGCAGTTTCTCTGAGACCAGTGTGGTGTCGCATGCTGGCCAGAGCTATGCTCGGGATATCTTTCCTATTTCGAATCTTATGCCTGGAAGGTTTGGGATCATTATTTTCTGGGTTAGGGACAAAGTCACCATTCTCCTGGTCAGCACTCGGATCAGCCATGGGGAAGTCATTAAACTCTGAATCAGCTTGACTCCAATCATCGGCCTTTTTTACCTCACCCTGGGCCTTCTCAAGTCTCTTTTCCTCGGCAACTCTTCTCCTCTTCTGTCTCTCTGTGGCAGCCTCCTGTCTCTTGGACTCCGGAATATCTTGGCTAGAAATCATGAGAGCCCCTATACTGCCAGTCTTCTCTCTCTGTGCTTTAACAAATGCCAGTTCGATCACAGGAATCTTCAGTTCACGCTTGCAAATACAGGAGATGTGGGCCTCGGATTTACAGTCACGATCACATCCAAACTCAGGACAGAGAACAATTGGGCACTTGCAAGTAATTATGTCAAATAACTGGTCCAGTTGCTTGGCAAAGCTGTCCTTAACTGCAAGTTTTCCTCTCCCAAGAGAGATATCTCTTGCCTTTTCCCAACTGGCTAGCAGTCTCTCACTAATCTTCTTCTGACTTGTTATGACTGGAGGCTTGAACTGAGCGTTAGCCAGAGTGTACTGTGCCAAGACAGCTTTGGTCATATCACTGGCAATGTCTTTGTTTGTAAGTTTTTTGGTTTTTTCACTGATTTGCCTGATTAAAACACCGTATCTCAAAGCATCTCTCAATGTAGGCAACTCCGACTTCAGGAGCTCTCTCCCAGACCCAAGATAGTGACTGAGATGGCTGGATTTTTGGTTCCTCGTCCTGACACAAGCAGCCATCGCAAATATTATCAACTTATAAATGCATCAGAATCTGAAACAGAAAAAAATATTGTTAGTTGGGTTGTTAAAGAATGAAGTCAGAAAGCAATGTTCACTATTTAATTGTAATGCACTAATGCAGCTGTACGTTAGATTTTCGATAAATTTCACGCTAAAATTTACCAAGCAAAAGGTTGCAAAATATTAAAACTGAAATTATTTTCTGTTTATATACACTAAAATCTACCAAAAAAGTGATGGGCCATTAGTTTTAGCTGATCTTCCCTCCTATGACACACCCTAATGTACTAGCAACCACCCCGATGTGCCTCTAAAGTCTAGACCCTCAGTCAGTGTCTCTCGAGACTTCAAGAAGTGGACTTACTCCAGGTTCTCACAATGTTGTTGCCCATGCTCTGGTGAAACCGCAGAACATTCTTCTTCCGCCACTGCACATCAAGCTCGGTCTGTTCAAAAACTTTGTAAAGGCACTAGACAAAAAAAGCCAGGCTTTCAATTTTCTGAAAGAAAAATTTCCAAAAGTCAGTGAGGCAAAGCTGAATGCAGGAATTTTTGATGGCCCTCAGATCAGAGAGCTTTTCAAAGATCCCAAGTTTGATTGCAGCATGGATGTAAATGAGAAGAAAGCCTGGCATGCCTTTAAGTCTATTGTCTCCAATTTTCTTGGCAACTACAGAAGTCCAGAGTATGGACGAGTTGTTGAGGACCTACTTCTGAGCTACAAAGTTCTTGGTGCACGCATGTCCAACAAGATGCACTTCCTCAGCTCCCACTTGGACTACTTTCCAGAGAACTGTGGTGATGTGAGTGAGGAACAAGGAGAACGCTTCCATCAAGATATCCGTGTAATGGAGGAGCGGTACCAGGGTCGCTGGGATATCAACATGCTCGCCGACAACTGTTGGTGTCTGAAACGGGACGCCCAAGACACCAACCACCAAAGAAATTCTCTGCGACAGCCATTTATGCATGTCTAACTGTAACGGCATCTATGTAGTTGACATATTTTGGTCCTATGTGTTGTGGTTACATTTCTTATGATATATTTTGCATAAAAATTTTGACATCATATTTAAGAATTTCTATTTTTTTCTAATTCCCATAGCATAAAAATCTGACCTGATTGGGCAAAATGAATGGCATTTTTGGAATCAGCACGCAAAATACATAAAGAATCAGCTAAGAAACCCGGCACCTCATGAATTTTTTTTTCAAATGCAGCCCAGTGTTATTAGTGTTGTTATCATTATTATAATTTTATTTTTAGTTTTGTATTTATTATAAATTATATTTACTATGAACTAATTATTATTGTTATTGTTGTTATTATTACATTTCGCCCCCCAGGCCCTGATGTGGGTCAATGACCTATGCCCGGGTGGGCTAATCTCGTTGAAAAAACAAAAACGGGTCTGAGATAAGCATACAACTTTTGGCATGATTTTGAATAATTTTTCACATCTGAATTACGACAGGAATGGCTGGTGAGATACTCTACATTCATTATCCAATTAACATCGGACATTATCACTGACTTTACGAAAGCCTTGTTATCTCTTCTCAAGTAATTAAGACATCTTTTGTGTACAGTTGTTTGCAGCACTGGTGGTAGCACTGGTACAGACAAACGTCAGCATCATCATGGGCTTCTCCGGGGTCACGTTGCCTCAGCTCACCAACCAACACTCCGAGGACCTCATCCTTAACTCTACCGAGGCAGCGCTCTTTGGTATGTCTAGCAGTTGGCCTCTGTAATACTCTTGTTCAGGATACTCACAGGGGAGGTGGTCTCTGGACACTCATACATACAGTTAGAGTAAGGAAAGGCGAAAGTGCCCAAACAAACGCTTGAAAGCCAAACACTTTTGTCGACATTGGATATCATTGTTAATTTCTTCTTATGGTAAACTTTTGTGAACTCTGTTAAATTACTATTAAATAATGATGTTTTATAATTTTCATCAGTAAAAGAGTCTTGTTATACACTATTTACATCACATGGTAACTCCCTATATTTTTTTACAGGTAGCTTAGCGAGCCTTGGTAGTGGGATTGGGTGTTTGGTGAGCAGACCCTTGCTGGTGAGACTGGGTCATCGGCTCACCCTGACAGTGACTCTGCCCATCACAGTGTCCTCCTGGCTGGCACTCTCCTTCTCCCCCAACGTCTGGGTGCTCCTCACTGCCCGCGTCCTCCTAGGCGTCACTACTGGGTTCATGTTAACCTCTGGTGGACCATACATTCTGGAGATCGCTCATAAGAATATTCGTGGAAGACTCTTCGGAATTACCATACTAGTTAGACAAATGTGGTTTTTTTTCGTTGCTGCTCTTGGGAGTTCGGCGCTCGACTGGCGACAAATGGGGTTCGTGTCGTGTGGAGTGTCTGCGATTCCCTTCCCTGCTCTCTTCTTGTTGCCAAACTCTCCTCGTTGGCTCGTTACTCAAGGTCAGGTCACTGAAGCTCAGAAAGCTCTTATTTTCTTCAGAGGTAAACACTATGACTCTGAGCCAGAGCTGAAAGCCATCACAGAACAAGTTGAAAATTCAAGCAAATTAAACAATAGTTTTTGGCAACAATTACAGTTGATTTTTGAACCCTCTACACTTGCTATGTTTTGTTTATTGGCGTTTTTATCTCTTTTGACGTCCTTTAACGGAAATATCGTGATGGTAACATACTTGGTGCCCATTTTTGAGGCTGCGAAGACCGACGTGGATGCTTACACGTGTGCTATGATATTTAGTGCCGTCAAAGTTATTGGGTCTTTATTGTTGCTCTGTGTAGTTGACCATCTGGGACGTAAACCCTTGATTATAGTTTCATATTCTTTGGGTACTGTGTGCATGGCAGTTTACGGTGGCTACTTCTACATGTTGACGACAGGCAGTGCTAGCAACATGAGCTGGCTTCCACTTACTGCAGCAGTGATCTACGTCTTCTGTATTTCTGCGGGCCACCCAGTGTTCCCAGTTTTAAGAGGAGAATTGATCCCCACCTCTTGTCGATCTCTTACATATTCAGTTATTACGTCATTAGTACAGCTGGGATTATTTCTGTCGACCCAGTTTTACCCAATGACTGTAGAGGCCCTTGGTGAACACGGGGCGTTCTGGTTCTTCAGCGGCGTGTGTGCTACAGTCACCATCGTCAGTGCTGTTGCCTTACCGGAGACTCGGGGACGCTCCCTTGAAGAGATCACTTAACTGTGTGTCACGTGGACCAAACTATAACAATGTGAAGGAGCTCTCGTCTCTTAATACTGAAGCCAAGTGACCCAGGACACACATAAGTGATAAACCGTTCAAGAGCATTGTTATGTTAATGTTAATTAATTAAATTATTAATGTTCCTTCCCACCTCAGATATAATTATCACCTTAAAACATTTATTGTACTTCTTTTGCCTGACTCGGCTAAGATAAAAGTTACTGTTTTTCAGATGGTTTTATACTCCTGCTCACTACCAAACACCACAGGTAGTAGGCAGCTATCAAACAGGGAGGTACTAGGAAGATATTGGAAGCATAATGTGTTGGTAGACCCTGCTGCGATATGTGACCAAGTCCCAGGGTGATGATCTGACTTTCTGCCTCATTTACACATAACTACAGGGTCTCAATTGTTTCTCTTACAACACAACATACATACTGTATATCGTTTCTCATTCTTGGTTTATTTTTTTCGTTTTTGTATTTATTTATGGTTACTATTATTATATTTATTATTTTATTATTATTGTTATCATTTTGTTATTTATTTTTATTAATTATTATAATAATAATAGTTATTGTTATTATTATTATTATTATTAATATTATTATTATTATTAATTTTATCATCATCATCATCATCATCATCATCATCATCATCATCATCATCATCTTCTTTTCGCCCCCCAGGCCCCGATGTGGGTCAGTGACCTGTGCCCGTGTGAGCTAATACCCGTAAACAAGAACAACAAAAAACAACAAAAAATAACTCGGTCCCTTAAGCACCTAAAATCTCTAAAATGAAAACTCAGAGGACTAGGCGAGACAAACAGCCCAAATAGGGAAAAGTAGGCATCATTAACCACAAAACCTTGTTTATAGACTTTTAGAATCTTTAAGACCTTTATGTTAGGAAGGATAACTATAAACCTTCAAAGGGCATAGTTTGTGTGAAACATTATGAGACCAAAGATGATAGATATTGGAACTTGCATTAATTTTGTATATATAGTTTGACATGCTGTAAGTAATGCAAACTGTAATTGTTTCGGGTAATTAATATGATGTTCTGTTACCAAATACAGCAGGATCAGTAAGCCACAGAGTCACACATACCAACCCTCCAGGGACATCACGAGTTGCATGAAGCATTACAGAAGTCATGATACCCATCCTGGGAGACACTTTTTTGAGATACTGTACAGTCCCCCAAAAAGTATTATTAGCCACGGGATCAATGTGATTTGAGGATTTCATAAAAACATAAGAATGGAGGAACTGTAGCGGGCCTATTGGCTCATACTGGGCAGTCCCAGTTACACCCAACCCCTATTGCTCATATATCCATCCAACCTATGTTTGAAGCTATCCAGCGTATTCGAGTTAATGATGATATTTGGTAACTTGTTCCATTCGTCCACTACTCTATTTCCAAACCAATGTTTACCTATTTCGCTCCTAAATCTAAATCTGTCTAGTTTAAAACCATTGTTACGAGTTCGCTCCTGGTTGGATAGTTTGAGTACCTTTGTAATGTCCCCTTTGTTTAGCCCTGACTTCCATTTATACACCTCTATCATATCGCCCCTCACTCTACGTCTCTCGACGGAGTGCAAATTAAGATGCTTTAACCTGCCTCTGTACTCAAGGTTCCTAATGCCTGGGATTAGTCTTGCCATTCTCCTCTGAATTTTTTCCAAGGATTCTATATCCGTTCTGTAATATGGTGACCAGAATTGAACTGCGTAATCCAAGTGAGGTCTCACAAGCCCAAGATATAGTTTTAGGATTGTACTATGCACATCATTGTCATTCCTAAAAATCCATTTTAATTCATATTACGCTACATAATATTCAAATCCACCGCGCTTGTAGAATCTCAGAAGAGACGTGTTTTTCACGTTTGTTTTACACTCAGGATCACTCCCAGTAATTCCCACCTTCGAACACAGTTGTCACTACGTTTATTCCACTCTCTACTGGCAAACGCAATCTTGAATTAGTCTGTGTAAATCAATTTTAGTTATTCGCCAGACCTTTGTCAACTGAGGGTCATCTTTGAATGAGTAACAGTTAGAGTTGTTTGTAATTATTGTCATTGCGTGTGTAGCGATCACTGGCAACTCAGGGTATATATACCGGCTCATCACGCAGGGCGAGCGTCCCCTGTTGCCCGCCCCAACTTTTGTTCCAGGTATGTTTGTGTGTATCCATTCAGTTTACGTCAGTCAATTGTAGTGAATATCAGTGTTCATCAGTGTTCATGCTTTAATAGTTGAATTGTCATTCACCCAGTGTAAGAAGTAATATAACGTAATACGTCTGTCGTCTAGACAAGAGATTTGTTTGTGTGTTGTCATGCTTCCCAGTCCGTCCCCTGACGCCCGCCCCAACGTTTGTTCCAGATCCCATTGTGATTCTTGCATCACTCAACAACTGCCCCTGATGTAGTAGAAACCCAGCAGGGACCATATATGAAACGATGGCACGGATGCGGCCTGATTAGTATGCTCCACTGCCTCGTGGTGCCAGACCCCAGACTCGCCATGTGTCTGGCCACCACCGACCATAACAACGGTCGTGAATCTCAGTGTTCTACCCTGGGACTCACCCTGGAAGTATATGTCCACAGAGAGTGTTGTGAGATGTATGTTAGGGATAATTAGTTGGAAATAACTATCCCATGTTGGGTAGTGGACCCATGTATCTGCTGATTTCATTATTAACGTGTATGTGGAGTAAAGTCTTGTATCTGTACTGTAATGCCACGTACCACCAGTAGGTGTGAGAAGTAAAGTAATCTACAAGGAGTGCCATGCACCATATATTGTGAGTAGGGCCAAGGAACTGGTCCTGCTATGTAAGGGAATGTGACACCAGTAAGATTGTGCACGGTAAGAGTATACTACCTGAGTGATTGTTGTTGAGTAAATAAGAAAATAAGGAAATAAGTAAATAAGAAGTACGGAGTCTGTAATAAGCCCAGGAGTTGAACCTGGTAAGTATACAGTATGTTAATAATATCTATTTTCCCCTTTGATTTTATATTAATAAACTAGTTCTTTGAGTATTTTAGGAGTATTCATTTCTCCCACAGTAGTTACCTTTATTTCCGTCCAAGTGACCCTGATATCAGAATTACACTACCCATGTGCCTAGACCATCGACATGCTACCTGCAAGAACTGAGGTTAGGTAGTACCAAAAATGAACTGAAGTAAGTAGAAGGAACATTTGAAAGAATTAAGACATGTTGTGGTTTCACCCTTCTTTCTCCTTATCGATCTGGTCAATGAAAAGCCTAACCCAATGTCTAGTCCACTCTGCCCGCTATCTAACGAGTTACATGCTGTCCAGAGAGGGGGTCTGGTGGCAGCGACCCTTAGAAATTAAAATTAGAGTTAAGTATTCCCCCTTAGAATTAGTGACCCCAGTCTGGCAGTATAGGATGACCTCTCTAGTCTTGTTAATAACACTCCTGTGTATGAACCCAAATACTTTATTAGCCTTGTCTCGAGCAAATACACAGTATTTACTTGGCTTAAGATTCTTACTTATCATTACTTCTAAATCGTTTTCGCAGTAGGATTTCTCAATAACATCGTTTTTCATCTGGTATCTGGTTTCCCTGTTTAGATATCCTGTACTGAGCACTTTACATTTGTCCACATTGAATTTCATCTGCCATTTTTCAAACCATTCGAAAAATTTGTTTAAATCTTCCTGTAGTTTTGCTGAGTCCTCGTCAGATTTAATTACACGCCCTATTTTAGTGTCATCAGCAAATTTACTTAAGTTGCTATCTACGCTGATATCTATGTCGTTTATGTATATAGGTTAGAGAAAGGGGAGGGATCCCAATAGTATGTGGAAAAAAATTGTGCAAGCAATGGTTGGGCATTCATTGATAACTGGCAATCATTCTATGGCAACGACTACCTGTACAGTCGTGACGGAGTACACTTGTCTAGCGCAGGGGTAAAGACGTTGTCTGCATCCCTGGAGAGTGAAATTGTCACTCTAAAGGGGGGGTGTTCTCCAGTATTGAAAGGTCGGGGTAAGTGGGCGTAAAAAAACAAGCAGGTCCTGGGGAGTAAAATTGGTTACTCAGCACAAGGGGTGGAACAGGACCAGGGAAGGATAGGTTTAAAAGTATACTATACAAACAGTAGGAGTGTTAGAAATAATATAGACTTGTACTGAGAATGTAGACATCATAGCAATCAACGAAACTTGGATGAATCTGGCGAGCAAGAACTTTTTATCAGAGTACCACATAGGTACAACCTTTTTCACAAGGACAGGGAAGGTAGGAAGGGGGAAAGGGTCGCACTCTTTGTCAGGGATACATTACAATGTTGTATTAATAATTCAATAAAGGGTGAAATTGGAACCGAGTCTGTATGGGTAGAAATTGCGGAAGGAAGAGAAAAACTAATTATGGGAGTGATTTACCGCCCCCCAAGTCTTGGGAAAGAAGCAGCTCAGCCCATATGGCAGGAAATGAGTAGGGTAGCAAAATACATCAACCTGTGCATTATGGGGATTTCAACTTCAGAAATATTGACTGGGACAACATTGTAGGTGACTGTGAATCTAAAAACTTCCTAGACGCAGTACAGGACAATTTTTTGAAACAGCTAATTACAGAACCCACTAGAGGTGATTAGACCCAGTATTAACAAATAAAGAAAATATTATCAGAAATATCACAATAGGGGAAGAACTAGGGAATAGTGATCACAGATAAATCAGGTTTACCCTAAATTGGGAAACGAAAAACAATGACAACATGGTCAGAGTCCTAAACTTTCGATTGGCGGATTATCAGGGGTTAAGAAGGTACCTAGGTGAGGTCGCCTGGGAACAGTCAGGTCAGTCCCCAGTAGGAACGGGTGAGGTTACAGGTGACACAACAGTTGATCATGACTATAATATATTCACTCGAATACTACGTAAAGCACAAGAACAAAATATATCATATAGAAACATTAGGTCAAATAAGAATGAGCCAAGGTGGATGACCAGAAAACTTAAACATGACATAGGAATAAAGAAAGGAATATATAAGAAATTAAAGGCAGGGGGGGAGCAGCTCAGAAATAGGCATAATGAACTAACTTGGAATGTTAAGAAAAATGTAAGGAAGGCAAAGAGGGACTACGAAATCAGGTTAGCAAGAGAATCCAAGGCGAATCCCAAGGGATTTTTTCTGGTATATAGGACAAAGGTCAAGGACAAAGTGGGGCCTTTAAAGTCAGAGAGAGGGGAAGTGATCCATGATAGTGAGAAAATAAGCAAAGCATTAA